ACCTACTGTACAGCAGAGCGACATCCACTTACCCACCTTTTTTTTATTTTTATTTTAATTTTTTTTGTGTCTGTGTACACGATAAGTAGTCGAAATAATGCTTTGATTTTCAACTTCAGTATCTTGTTCGATTGGAAAGTGAATATCGTTGGTGCGTTGGGGAGGTCAAAATTTAAATTTTCCAGTAGTTTTCACAAGCGCCGGGAAAAAAAACATAAAAATTAAGGGAAAACGGGAATTTTTACGCAAAATCAGTTTTCCAAAAAATCGATTTTAGTTTTTGGTGTAACTCTAAAACAAATGAATGTATATACATGAAATTTTCACTGGTTGTTTATATTTGCATTTTCTATACACGATAACATTTTCAAAATATTTTGATTTATTTTGAACTGTTTAGGGACATTTTCAGTTTCCAATTTTATTAATTTTTTTTTTTATGAATATCAATAAAAATTTATTTGTTGAGTAAAAATACTTGAAAATTTAATATATGGCTCCTACTATATTGTTTCAAAGACAGATAAAAATATTAAAAATCGTTAGTCACAGTTTTTTTTTTAAGCATTTTAAGTTCAAAAAAGGACATAATATGGAAAAATCACGAAAATTTGAAATTATTTCGAGTTAGAAATTCATAAAAATTTTTTCTTTTTAAATCTAAGATATGAAAATGTAATGCAAGATTCCTTAGTAGCTTTTCTGATAGGAAAGTGAACCTAGTTGGTACTTTGGGGGGTCAAAAGTATAAATTTCCCAGTAGTTTTCACAAGCGCCGGGAAAAACAACATAAAAATTAAGGAAAAACGGGAATTTTTACGCAAAATCAGTTTTCCAAAAAATCGATTTTAGTTTTTGGGGTAACTCTAAAACAAATAAATGTATATACATGACATTTTCACTGGTTGTTTATATTTGCATTTTCTATACACGATAACATTTTCAAAATACTTTGATTTATTTTGAACAGTTTAGGGACATTTTCATTTTTCATTTTTCATTTTTTTTTAGTTTTTTTTCTAGAAATATCAATAAAATTTTATTTGTTGGTTGCGAAAACTTGAAAATTTAATAGAAGGCTCCTAATATATTGTTACAAAGGCAGATGAAAAATATTAAAAATCCTTAGTCACAATTTTTTTTATAAGCATTTAAAGTTCAAAAATTGACAAAATATGGAAAAATCACGAAAATTAGCAAATTATTTTGAGTTAAGAATTCGTAAAAATGTTTCTTTTTAAATCTAAGATTTGAAAATGTAATACAAGATTACTCATAAGTTTGTCTACCTTTATCAATAAAAAAATCTCTACCGGACAGTCAAATTAAATTTTTATGAGCATTTGAAATTCAAATTTTTACATCATTGGATGTTCACTCGATTTCTCATGTAGCGATTTCCTTATTTTGTTGTTATTCATAAACGAATAACTATAGATACATGAAAATTTCACTGAATGTTTATATTAGCATTTCCTATACACCATACAATTTTGAAAATATTTTGACTCTTTTTGAGCTGTTTACGGACATTTTCAGCTTTCAATTTTTTTAGTTTTTTTTTTCTATGAATATCAATAAAGTTTTATCTGTTGGGCCAAAAAGTGTAAAAATTTAATACAAGGCTCCTGATATATTGTTACAATATCAGTTGAAAAATATTAAAAATACATAGGCACAATTTTTTTTTATAAGCATTTAAACGTCGAATTTTGACAGAATTTTTCAAAATCTCGAAAATGATTAATCATCGTAATTAATAAATTATAAAATGTTCAGTTTTTATAGCTAAGGATTGAAAATGAAAAACAAGATTCCACGTAAGTAATTAATTCTCTTACCGAAAAATCTAAAAAATATACAATCACAGTTTATTTTTATAGTCATTTTATGTTCAAATTTGGACGAAATTACATATTAAAAAACCTAGTTATTTTGTTGTGATTATATAATTTTATTCGTGGGTACCTACTTGAAACTTCTAAAGTGTACTATTATACATCTATGATACTATGATAGTATCAGGGTTTGTTATTGATGTTGATGTATAACATGTTATAAGTACCTAATGGATATTGTGATAATGTGATATGATTAATTTGGAATTTATTATAAGTCAATTTTTTTTTAATACCATAGATATGTATATAATTTGTCTTAAACCTAGACTGACATACCGTCTTCGCTCAGAATCGTTTTTCTTATACAATGATATTGTATCATTGAATTCAAATTTAAAAGCATCCATTATACAGTGACCCACTTGTAACCTACTGTACAGCAGAGCGACATCCACTTACCCACCTTTTTTTTATTTTTATTTTAATTTTTTTTGTGTCTGTGTACACGATAAGTAGTCGAAATAATGCTTTGATTTTCAACTTCAGTATCTTGTTCGATTGGAAAGTGAATATCGTTGGTGCGTTGGGGAGGTCAAAATTTAAATTTTCCAGTAGTTTTCAAAAGCGCCGGGAAAAACAAAAGAAAAATTAAGGAAAAACGGGAATTTTTATGCAAAATCTGTTTTCGAGAAAATCGATTTTGGTTTTTGGTGTAACTTTAAAACAAATGACCGTAGATACATGAAATTTTCACTGGTTGTTTATATTTGCATTTTCTATACACGATAACATTTTCAAAATACTTTGATTTATTTTGAACAGTTTAGGGACATTTTCATTTTTCATTTTTCATTTTTTTTTAGTTTTTTTTCTAGAAATATCAATAAAATTTTATTGGTTGGTTGCGAAAACTTGAAAATTTAATAGAAGGCTCCTAATATATTGTTACAAAGGCAGATGAAAAATATTAAAAATCCTTAGTCACAATTTTTTTTATAAGCATTTAAAGTTCAAAAATTGACAAAATATGGAAAAATCACGAAAATTAGCAAATTATTTTGAGTTAAGAATTCGTAAAAATTTTTCTTTTTAAATCTAAGATTTGAAAATGTAATACAAGATTACTCATAAGTTTGTCTACCTTTATCAATAAAAAAATCTCTACCGGACAGTCAAATTAAATTTTTATGAGCGTTTGAAATTCAAATTTTTACATCATTGAATGTTTACTCGATTTCTCATGTAGCGATTTCCTTATTTTGTTGTTATTCATAAACGAATAACTATAGATACATGAAAATTTCACTGAATGTTTATATTAGCATTCCATATACACCATACAATTTTGAAAATATTTTGACTCTTTTTGAGCTGTTTATGGACATTTACAGCTTTCAATTTTTTTTAGTTTTTTTTTCTATAAATATCAATAAAGTTTTATCTGTTGGGCCAAAAAGTGTAAAAATTTAATACAATGCTCCTGATATATTGTTACAATATCAGTTGAAAAATATTGAAAATACATAGGCTCAGTTTTTTTTTATAAGCATTTAAAGATCAAATTTTGACAAAATTTATCAAAATCTCGAAAATTATCAATCATTGTAATTAATAAATTATAAAATGGTCAGTTTTTATAGCTAAGGATTGCAAATTCAACACAAAGGTTCTCATAAATAGGTCATACCGTAACCAAAAAATCTAAAAAATATATGAACACAGTTATTTTTTACAGACATTTTAAATTCAAATTTGGACGAAATTACATATTAAAAAACCTAGAATAACTATTTTAGTAATTTTGTTGTGATTGAATAATATTATTCGTGGGTACTTGAAACTTCTAAAGTGTATACTATTATATATCTATGATAGTATCACGGTTTTTGTTGATGTATAACGCGTTATCAGTACCTAATGGATATTGTGATATGATTAATTTGGAATTTATTATAGGTATCTATTATAATATCTATCTCAATTAATTTTCAAAATGCCCACCGTGATGTGATGCCCACATGTGACCGACTTTAACATTTGTGATGTGACTTTTTTACATGCTTTAGTGATGCGCTTTTTTAAATCATTCAGAGAAGTCGACTGTTCTGAATAAACGTTATCTTTTAAGTAACCCCATAAAAAAATTCTAAAGGAGTTAAATCAGGAGATCGTGAAGGCCAGTGGACCACGGGTACCTGGCCAACTTTGTGGAAAATGCTGGTTCAAGTAATCTATTACTACTTTTGCATTATGAGCAGGAGCACCATCTTGCTATATCCACATTGTTTTCCGAATTTCAAGAGGGGGGATACACTCCATCAATAATGGCAATGTATTTTCTAGAAACTCTAAATAACGTTTTCCCACTTAGAGTGTCATCATAAAAATATGGCCCGACCAATTTATTTGTTTATTTTTTATTTATTTTATTTATAAAATCATAAATCGACGGCTACAAGGAAAAAGGGCGTAAACGACATTTTGGCCGAAAATGAGTTAATAGAATTTGGGCGTAAACGCCACGATTCTTTATCGATAGAGCCAACGATTGTATCGATACGATTTTTTTACGAATAACTATCGATGTTTAAATATTTAGCGTAACCGCCATTCATTATCAGGTGTGTAATTGTGATCGGGTGTAAACGACTTTTATTAGGCCTAAACGACTATTAAATAATTTAATATGATTTTGTAAACGACATTTTGTTGCTAACATCAGAATAATGGTATTATATTATTTGATGCTAATTTATGATAACGAATAATAAATGATACGCATTACGCATTTGCAAGCTCATTTGCAAGCTGGTTGCAGTGGCTACACGTTCCACTCATTCAAGATTCTTGATTTCAAGTAAGTTTTACAACGTATTTATTACATAAATGCAAGTATCATAATGGTCATCTTTAAATTTACTATCAGTCTGTATGGTGCGTTATCGTTATATTGTCTTACGCCTAGGTCTAATATTTAAAAATTATGTTTCCCATTATTAGTAGGTAGGAATGTCTTACATGATAAGTTTTGTTGTCCAGTCCACGACTGTGTCTAAATGTCACCGTAGTAGTTAAGCAATAGTAAAAATACTATAGTAATTGATAAGTTATAGTTTAATTAACTGTTTGTACCTTTTATTATGTTTATTTAGTTTAAAAATGGGTTCAAGAATAAAAAAAAGGAAAAATGCTATAAATAATTCGTCTAGCACTATTGAAAATAACATTCCATCAAAACAAAACGACAACTTTGATCGTGCTAATTTTTTTAATGGTCTAGTTTATAAAGATATTATGGCAGTTGAAAATAAAGAGTTAAACGTTTATAAAAAATCTGAAGTTCCTGTTACCAAAAATAATATTATTGCTAAAAATACATTATTATCTGATAAGTCACCGACATTATGTCCGTCAGAGTGTACTAGAGATACAACAGATTGGTTACCACCAGGTATGGTGTTGAATAAAAACACTTCATTTACTGTTTCTGATGTTAGTGATGTTATTATAACTTGTCAAAAACCTAGTTGTTCACGAGAACTTTTCAAAATTCCATCTATAGAATCCGATAATAAAACTTCAAGTAGTGATTTAGAATGCAATGATGTTGTTATTGTTGATGAACTAACACAGATAGGAAAAAGTGGTTTGAAAAAGCCAAAAATTATTAATAAAAAAATGAAGGAAAAACATAATCGTGTCCATGGTAATGGTAAGAAAGTTCAAAATAACCCTTGCGCTTATTCAAAATGTCCTAACAAGTGTACGAATAAAATCACCGAAGAAGAGAGACAAATTATTTTTTCTAATTTTTGGGGATTAGGTAGTTATGAAAGACAACGGGACTATTTATTAAAATCTACCAAAGAAATTGCTATTAAAAGGAAAAGAGTTGAAGGTACTAGTCGCCGTAATGTAACTAGAGAATATTATTTATCGTGCAATAGTGAACCAAAGCGGGTATGTCAACAGTTTTTGTTAAAAACTTTGGATATGACACAAAACTGTTTAAATTATACACTTTTAAAGCGATCCCCTTCAGGAACTTCGAAAAAAGATGGACGTGGTTCAAGACGTCCAAAAAATAAAACGTCTGATGATGTTATGGCAAATTTTGATAAATTTATACAGCAGCTCCCAGCGGTACCATCACACTATTGCCGAGCCTCAACGACTAAAAAATATTTACCGTCAGAGTTAGGAAATTGCTCTAGATTATATAAGCTTTACATTGATTTTTGTAAACAAAGTAACGGCACTATTATAAAAAAAACACTTTTCAATCAGCTGTTTAAAGAAAAATATAATATCGGTTTTCATGTCCCTAAAAAGGATAAATGTACTTGGTGTTGTAAAATTGAAAATATTATTATGAGCCGACAACTAAATGAATCCGAAGATACAAAAAATCAACTTCATTTGTACGAAAAAGAAGAATGTAAGTCTATGTTTTTGTTTGATCAACAGATTTCAAAGTGTAAAGGGAATTTTTTGTGCTCGAGTTTTGATTTACAGAAAGTATTGAGTAGCCCATCAGGTCAAAATATGAATTTGTATTATAGTAGGAAATTTAGTTCTTATAACTGCACCATTTACGAGTCGGGAACGCAAAATGCTTATGCTTATTTATGGGGAGAAATAAACGGAAAAAGAGGATGTAATGAAATTGTGACATGTATACACAACTATTTAACCGATATAGATATCAAAAAAATATATGAATACGTAGCTTTATATTGTGACTCGTGCACCGGCCAAAACAAAAATCGTGCTATGTTAACTATGATTTCAAAATCACTCAAAAGTCAATTCACGTACATTAAAGAGATAAAAATCGTTTTTCTTTTGCCAGGCCATACTTACATGCCGGTAGATTCAGTGCATGCATCAATCGAACGTTTTGTTAGGGACAAAACTGTTTGGGCATCAAGTGAATGGGCTACACTTATTAGAAACGCACGTATAAATCCTAAGCCTATAGAGGTAAAACAACTTGCTTATTCAGATTTTTATAATTGGAAATATGAAGCTGATAATAGTGATATACTCCCAAAAGTTTTAAAAGATATCGATGGTAATATCATTCAAATTTCAGAAGTTCGTTACTTTGTTTTTTCACGTTTGAATTTGGATAATGAAGATGATAATTTGCATTCCATAAATATCTATGCATATTTTTCATATAATCCTGATTGTGAACCAAAAACATTAAAACTTAAAGGTGGTCAGAACAAGAAAGAATCTCGGTCCACTACAGAAGTCATTGCAAAAAAGTTGTATAAAAAAACCATTGCAATCTCGAAAGAAAAATATAATGATCTTATTAAATTGTGTACATCTGGAATTATTCCAAATGAGTTTCACGAGGAGTATCTGCAAATGAGAAATAGTACAAAAATCCAAGACTGTTTACAAGAAACTGACGAGGAAGATGAAACCGTCAGTTTAAAATAAGACTGATAAATTATCAAATTTTATTTACTCATTTCATCATTAAGTACCTATTATAAATTAGTTGGTTACTATTAAAATTATATCGATTTGTTTTTAAAAAAGTTGTTTTATTTTATTTTAAGGAATATTTGACTGTTTTTTTTTATGTAATAATTAAATACACGTTATTTAATTTTATTTTGAATACTTTTTACTAAAAATAGATGTTTTATTTTATTTAAAAGAAGATTTTACTGTTTTTTTTTATGTAATAATTAAATACGTCATGTTATTTAATTTTATTTTGAATACTTTTTACTAAAAAGAGATGTTTTATTTTATTAAAAGGAATATTCGACTGTTTTTTTATAATGTGATAATGAAATTATACGTTATTTAATTTAATTTTGAGTACTTTTTATTGAATTATTAATATTAAATCATATGTTCACGAGTTCAGGCGTAACCAACAACGACCAGGTAAGTTGAGAAACAATGGGAGTAAGCACCATATTATCGTTTATAAGCTAATTTTTACCGTAATTAGCGGTACATTTTATAAGTAAAAAACATTAGAAACATCAATTAATAGATTGATACAAGAATTATACTTGTAAGTGATATTTAGATAGAATAGGACAGAAAAATGTATTGTATTTTTATTTTGGGTTTCCTGTTAAATTACGAATATGTCGTTTACGTCCTTTTTCCCTGTAACCGTCGATTAATGTTAAAATTGAATAAATTAGTTATAATACATAATACTTTGACTATATATTTTTAATATTACCTGTAGCTTTTAATGTTTGTACAACATTTGTAATCGTGGATCGTGACGGTTGTCTTCTTTCGGGAAATTTTTGTAGGTATAAGCGACATGTTTGAACTGTACTTTTACCACTAGTATAAAACATTTCGATTATGTCAGAATACTCTACATTAGTATAAGTAGGCGGCACATTATACATGTATACATGTATACTAAGAAGTATTTAAACAAAAAGCTTAAACAAAAATTGTTGACATGTGAGGATAAAAAAAAGTGGTGTCAATGATAAAAACAAATAGGTAACAGTTATTTTTACCTAATAAGTTACTTATTAAATAAATGAATAACAGTCTAAATAAATATATAAAATTCTAAATAAACTTAAATCTAATAATAATTAATAGGAATCACTCCAAAATTCATTTACTTCTGACTTATCTCATTATGTAAAAAAAAAGGTAATAATTTATAAAAGGTAATGAACACATCAGTTATCAATAGTTTCATTAGAATGTAGACAAATTTCCGTAATACAAATATTTGCAGAATTTGGGTATGTTCACATCTAATAAAAAATAATAACACTTGACATGTCCACAACTCAACATAAATTAATTAAAATTTAATGAACATAAGTAGTAACAAAGTGTAACATAATAAACTAACACATGAAATAACTTTGGTTCTAATCAATAATTTACCACTTTTTTTTATATTTATACATCAATACATAATACGTATGTATATAATTTATAAATGCTCGTGCTACAAGTACAGTTTAACATTTTTTAATACTTTGTCTAATTTTGAAGGTAAAAATGTTTATTTTAGTGAAATAGTTTATTTTTTACAATCATTTTTTTAAATATCAATATTTTTAAGGAATAAATGAATAAAATATATTTCTTAAATTATTTATTATTCATGGCATTTTAATAACTTTTGTTGTATGTTTTTACTATTATCAATTTTTAATTTTTATTTGTCAGGTCATTCTGTTACACTTTTTATTTTTACTACCGTAGATTACAATTTATTTTGAGGGCTATGAATTTTGTATTACTGTACAACTATTTAGAACTCAATAATTTTAGTCTTGGATATTTTTTGAAAATGTTTATTAAAATACTGATCCATAAATCTTATCTTAATAGATGGAAAGTTTACTCATATCTAGGTTACAATGTTTTTGTGAGTTGCAATAGACTAAAAAGGTTTACTTAATCAGTGTTCACTGTTCAGTGTGACAATTTATTTCTGAAATATTAAGTTTCTTAGTTGTTTAATTTAAAATATCGAAAAACAATGTTGAAATTCAACTGTCCGAATTGGAATTTTTTAATAAATAGTTCTTAAATTTGTTAACGGGACACTTTATGTCATCTATGTACAATTTAAATATTTTAGATAACTTTTCGTTAAGTGATTTTTGTATAAAATATGTTTTTATACTAAACCACAGTGTAAATCCTACAATGCTACATGAACATAAAATAATTATTTACAGAATTGTCATTCATTAAAATCAAGTCCCAAAGACTTAAAAATGAGAACAGTCACTATGTATCTGAATTTGAGAATGAGAAAAAACTGGTAGGTATGTCATGTTATACATTTCTTCAAATATAGCATAGAAGTTTCATATTAGAAAAAAATATTAAATTATCCATTTTAAATGTAAAAAAATCTCATGAGTCTGTAACGATCTTGGTGCTCGGTACCCACTATTGTAGTACTAATAGTAGATAAGTGGCTACCAAGATGTTATAGATGCAGGTCGCAGACACTTTATCTGTTGTTGAAGTCGTGGTAGATGAATGAATAATAAGACAGTTGTTGTATATTGTGAATTTTATTATAAGTAGGGCACGGATGTTGTAGTACTAAAAAAATAGTAAAATTGATTGCAGTATTGCACTAAAAAATACCAAAAATTGCACTAAAAATATTAAAAATTGCACTAAAAAATAACAACGTTTTGTTATAAATGTTTTAAGTTTACTGTTATAAATTATAATCTAAAATTCTAAATAATTAAAAAAAAAATATATACATTACATTATAATCATGCCATTATAAATGTATTATATTATATACATCATTGCACTGTACTATAAGTGTTTGTTTTAAATTTTCGAAATCAAACCCTCTTCGATTTGTAGCTAGTAAGTTCTTATATCTCGAAAAACTTCATTCTACGTCGGTTGATGTAAGCGGAGCGTATTTAAAATAAGATAAATCGCTTACTGTTAAGTCTTCGGGTAAACCATCGAACGATTTTCTTTGTCCAGTTAGTATATCATTGATTTTAATAATGGTTTTAAGTCATATATAAGTTTTAATATTGCTAAAATAGTTGTATAAATGAGTAAATTCGACAAAATTGCAATAAAATTGAAAAAATCCCAAAAATGGCAAAAAATTGCACTTAAAACTTTTAGATTTGAATTCGTACTTACATGAAACGTATTTAAAACTTACTTAGCAATTAATTGAAAAAGTAGAAAAAAAGTTGCAAATGCAACATCATCCGTGCCCTAATTATAACGTTCGATAATTTTTCTAAGTCCAAATAATATTGTACAAAGTGACGTGAAGGTGCTTGCTCTAATGGGTGGTAGTACACGTCTGAAAACAGGCCGATTCGGGCTCCCTTATATATGAGGTTCCCTGTACCCCTCGCCTATCGATACTGTATCAAGACTGTCACGGATGTAATTGGTTAATCATTTTACTCTTTTGTATTTTTATTTCGTCGTATTCAGTGTTTCTGTAAATATTACATCCGCCTATTCTTGAACCCTTCATCCTGAGCTATTTAGTGAGCCTGCCTCCTTAGGTTTGAAGGAGGAACCCCAACCCATTTTCATTCTTTATGTCCGACTATGCTGGTCTATTGTATAATATAATAACTATGTAGGTACTCATGAACTTTGTATTTTTTCTGTAAAATGTTATATACGCCTATTTTTGAATCCTAATTTTCTTATTACCTGGTTATGCCGACCTATTATATATTAATATATTATAATGACTATACACTCGTGATTTATGATTGTGGTATTTGTTTCGTAGTAACTGGCTTACTACAAGTCTTAGTTATTTTATTACAATTCAATAACTTAACCTAATTACTTTAAATATACAACCAAAGTTTCGTCTGCATAATTTACAAAAGTGGTAGTCCAACTTGATATTTCATGTTTCATAAAAACTACTGAGGGGTAATATAATTATTAGATTTAGTTATTTTATTGTTAAAAATATTCGTACTTACTTATCTATTGTGTAGTCTGTTTAAAAATGTACAACATAAGTATTTATTATTCCATACTTATTTAAATGTACACAGAACATGTATCAGAAAATATAAATTTTCATTTGCTGATCCGATTGGGAAGTATAGTCACAATATACTCAAATTCGACTATTATTATTGATTGATTTACTCGCATTTAAAGAGCTTTGGAGAAAACAACATTTATTTCCTTAATAAAAAAAAAATTTCAAAATATTTATTTTTTAGGTAAATATATTTTTAGGTAAGTACATAGCTCATTAATTTTGTAGTTTTTTCATCAAAGAATAAAATGTATTGTAGTTTATTAGTACCCATAAATAGTTTGTTGATGTTATTGTCAAAATAATTTAAATTGCAGACATCCTATCGTAAAACCACCGAAAAAAATAACTATTATGTATACTTACGTCTCCAATAGTGTGGTAACTTCGTTTAACTAATTTTGTTTTTGAAAGTGATGCCGTGATGGTGATTAATTTCTTAGAAATGTATATCAATTTAATTTGTGGAACATTTCTTGAAACCACGTGGAAATTATTTTGCAAATATTCTGTAGTTAAGCCACATATGGATGTGGACATAATACCTTATTCTGTATGTGCCCGATTTTAACATTTGTGTCACTCTTGCATTGTAAGATACTGTTCAACTTGATTTTGTTTTGGTGAGTAATACATAAATAATCCCATGACAAATTAAATTTGTCATGAATAATCCATAATGCATTCACAGTTTCAAGCACTCCAGGGTTTGGACACATGAAACAAATCCTCAAATTTGATGGACGTTAAAATGATGAATGGTGAATTGGTGGGTACATTGATAACACAATAACGAGAATTTTTGAATAATAATAACAAGCTTACTAAAATAATAACAGTTATTAATAATATAATAATTTATTTATTAGAACCATAGAGTAATAAAACTATAGAGGCGGCATTAGGCAGA